TGCGTGCGGCAGTCTACCTTCTGCAAGCGTACGACTTGTGCCCGGAAGACCCGATGGTGTGTTTGAATATCGCGCTGGCGACGCTCGGGCGTGCAATGCAACGGCAGTCCGACAATCGGCACCATCTCGTCACTCAGGTCAGTGGTTCGACCCAGGCGTGCTCTTGATGATCGTGATCGTAATCGCCCGCAGGCCCTAGGATTCCTCGCGCGCTATCGGCAGCTGCGCCAGGAACAGCCAGATTGCGTCGGCGAGATTGACTTCAATTTCGGGCGTGCGTTCCAGCAATTAGGTGTGGCTCTGTTCATTTGTCCACTGGAAACCATCGTGCTGAGGGATACCAGGATTGTATTCGCACGCCGTCACCCACTACGAAAAGGTTTTGCGAATAGCAGAGACGCAGGACAGCAAAGTGAGCGTTTGACTATCTGATGACGCTCGAGCTGTTCTGACAGACACCCTGCTAGTACACCTCCGTCGCGCAGGAGGCGGCGTATAACTTGTCTCTCATATATGCGATGACCGGCGCCATTCCGCTGGCGAAATCGCTTTACCGACGCTGGCTCTCGCTCTGATGTGGCGTATTATACCCGGACCGTCGCTGTGTAATTTTATCCTGTAGCACCCCCGCTGTATTCATTCTTGGCTGTATTGTTATTTGGCAGATCACTATTCATCTGCAATTGCCGACAATCTAGTTGGCGAAAAATGGAGGCAGTGGACTATAGTCTTGTTGTTACCGCGGGGTCTTGATCGCGGTAGAATCTTATTACATAAACATCGGAGTTTGAATTTCCGCTTGAGCAGTAGGTCAAAACCGACGTGTCATTGCATAAATTGAATACACAGAGTGAGTCTCACATCCATTCCTGCACATTCTGTCTCTTCAGGATTTCGAAAAGTAAGCGTGAATACTGCTTTTGAGTGACCTCCGATAATCCCGTGATCTCTCGGCCGACACCCATAAAGTATTCCACACGGGCTCCATGGCACCCCAAAAAAATCTTGCATGAGGGCACAATCAATCAATAGGTTGCGCATACCTTCTGAGGAGGTAATCTAGTCAGAAAAGAGAGGTATGTTGGTGGCGAGCGTTTTTACTTGGAAAAAGTTTACGTAAGAAGATTCTACGGCGATCAAGAAGCCCGCGGTAACCAACAGACTTCAACAAACTGAGGTACGAAGTGATTCTTGTTGAAGCGTCTGTCTACGAGAGACTAAGTGGACTACCCCTTTGGTACTATGGGATCTCTGAGAAATTTAAAGCCTGAAGAATGGCCAACAGATTCAATCGCAGGGTGAAAAAGACGAAAGACTCCGGAATCCAAACGTTTGCGTACTTGTCACACCTGCAAAAGTGAATATTCAGCCGGGATTATGCTGCCTAAACGTTACCTGAAAACACCATTTTCGGCAACATGTCCAGCTGGAGGCATTTTTGCCATTGGCTCGGAAAATGCCGAGCCAATGGCAAAAATGCCGCAAGCTGAATAAGTAGCTGAAAAGGATTTTTTCGGGTGACAATCAGCCGAGCTGAATATTCAATTTGGTCGGTGTGTGTGGTGGGATACGCGATTACGTCTTGTTCTGCATTCCTTGATGGTGGTGTGCCAACTGATCGCGAAAAGCAACCCCTGTCCCGATTTGGAAGGTGTCGAACCAAATTCGGTCATTGAGAAGTTGGATGCGTCGAACAGAGAGGGACGCGTTTCTGCGTTTTTCTTCCGCAGATATTTTGAAAATAACCGTCTGAGTTCCATTTCGGCAAGACTGATCCTCAAATACTAAGTCGAGCGACCTCTAAATATCCGGAAGACGCGAAGAGTGGCTACCTGCCAGGTGCCTCCATACAGAACGATTCCCGGTGGATTAGGCGAAGGATCACGGACGATTCGCGAATCCTTGAATACATATTCAATCGAGAAATTATGCTGAGGCCATTCGGTAACATTCTGGCCTTTTTCATTTGCCAGGACGTACTCGTGGCGAGGAAAGGAGATATCCACTGCTTGCTTTCCAGGCTTTGTCATCACGTATCCTCGTTTCCCGTCATCTTCATTTCCAGAGCAGATATCTCTGGAGAGAGACTTAGATTACAGTTGTTTTGTACAGGCCAAAGCGGGCAGCGGTCCGAACACACAAAGGGAGCCATCACGGGACGTAGTTGTTTTCCTTCATCTCCATCTCCTTTGACGAACCAGACCCATCCTCCTGCAACCGTCTGCAGTGGCACCTACCCTAATATCCAGCCTTAACACGCCCCTCGGTTGATATGCCCCACCCTAAGATGATGATGCTCCGCAAGTACCGCGAAGAAAACCCGGGGTTCAGACGCAGAGCTTTGGTCGAGGCATTCCTCGATTCGGTTGGGAATGAGGAACGACCTTCGTTTCTCGAGGGCGTAGAGCACAAACGGAAAGCCCTGGAAGAGGCACGCACGGACGCGGGTCACATTGACATTGGTGGACAAGAGTCGCAGAGCGGCAAACAGAAAAGACAGAGAAGGAGCTCTGCTGAGAATGGTGAGGGAATCTTTTGTATGGGAACCACAGAAGACTTACAGGAACGGATATCCAGAACGAGTCGCGCGGGCGACGATAACGCATTCCCCTCCCAAATTTCGTAGAATGCATGGAATCCGTGCTTCGTTGAGACAGATGAAACAGAAGAGGGGGAAGGAGGGAAGACCGAACTTGATTGGAAGGTGAAAAAACCAGCCAACAGGAACCAGAGGAGACATCGAGAACGGCAGGGAACATATTTTGTATCATTAGGAACCTCGCATTTGTAAAACAACGACGCACGTATAATTATTTAACGCCTCTTCGGAATGTAATCATTCAGCTGCCAGAGACCAGGACTGGGTTGTTCGAGAGAAGAACGCAATCTGTCGAGCAGGAAGGCTTTTCTTTGTTCAGTGCGTTTCCTGATTCCTTGCATTTCATACGCTGGGGTCGTTTTGCACGGGAATTGATATTTGCACTAGTTCCGTCCATGCACGCATCAAACGAGCCAAGAACCGAGAGAAATGCGGCGGCGAGACCTTCAAGTGACCTCGAAACTTCTTGTCGAATGATAAGCAGATTGGTAGTAAAGCCAGAGATTTTGTCGCAAATCTGCCATCTGGACAGTCCGAACTTTCATCGAGATGGTCCGCACGTGGAGGGCTTGAAGGATTTGCGTTCAATAAACCGGTCGCCAGATGATCTTGCGAAGTTGGCTGTACATAAGCGTGCGCGATCAATTCGAAAACGCGATTTGATCCGAAATTGCGACTTGGCCTTTTCCACAAATCTTCCAAGTTTGTGCCTCGCAGGTCCTCTGGCATCTTAGAAAGTCCAAGTGCTGCTTAGAATTTGAGATGAGTTCTGGCACCTTGTGCGGCCTGGCCTTACTACGCGGGGGAGAGTAAACGAGTCTACTGGTAATTAACCAATTTTTGCGATTGTCCAAGAATTCCATTATTAAACAATGGCTCAATTAACTAGAAGCCGGTTACAACGATTCATACGAGCAACGGCTGTTCTAGGAAGAGGTCAATCACAAGAGTTGCCATTATTTTACGGCTTCTTACCTTCCTACGCCTGCGACCAGCGACAACCGCTCCATGCCTCTTCTGTGAAGAATGACGGGCTCTTCCTCACTGCGTTGAATATGCCGCCAAACTTTTGACCCTGGTTACGAAGTATATAAACTATTGTGCTCCCAGGGCATCCGCTACATTAAAATTTTTCGCGACTCCGAGTCGTTGACTGTATAAAGTTTATCTCTCATCTACCTTTGCCTTCAGGTGGAGTTTCCATTCCAGCATGTCTTTACCTCTTGGAAGTTTCTACCGATGGTATGCAAGTCTGCGGTCTTCTGTGTTTTTTGTCCGCCTGTTCAATACCGAAATTTGCGCCCCACTGCAGGACCCGCCTGCGATTGTTCCCAGGGCTTTCAGCTTGTCTGTGCGATCTGTGGTTATCTAGCGCGGCGTTTATCTAGCTGAAACCGCTCTGCGCCTTCATTCATTTCCCTGATCTGCTCGACCGTCGATATACTGAGCCTGTTCTCGCGGAGCCGGACGACCCGCGGACAATTACATTATCAGGATCCCCGCCGTCAAGTGTGTAATCGGAATGCGCCCCTCCGAAGTCCAGCGTGCTGCATTGCTCGTCATCGCATCGCGGTCGACACTTGCTTGATTAATTCCTGGAATCGAAGGCATCGATACACGAGGGACGGCGAACTTGAACATCTGCCATCGGAGACTGTGATAATCGCCCCGACCTCATGCTCCTCACGCGGTGCTCTACTGAACGAATTTCATTCGATAGCGAAAATGTGCATGGCCCGCGGCGTCGCCTGTTGTGATGTCCGTCTCCCACCGGTAGTCCATTAAGGAGCTCCCATGCGGCCCATTTCATTGGTACTTTCTCGCGGTTTCCGAGGTCCGCTGCCTAACGCAGGACGACAATTGGCGCTGTCACGGTGTCCTTTCGAATATTATGTATTGCTGAATTCAAGTTGTGCATTACCGGCTTGGAGTTGCAGAAATAAATTGGCTCTAACGACCCTCAATATATCTTCTCAGTGACCCCTCTAAAGAATCTGTATCTGGATATCACTGATCCAGGCTGAAGAAACACACAAGCATGTACACCATCTGAAATGCTCGGAATTCGAAGAGGTTTTCTGTATCTTTTGTGTGTGTTCAACTGAATACAGTGGTTCGGGTTGCAAGAAGGGACACCTTTGGCGACTTGCACCTGTTTCATTTTTTTACGATTTTCCGCGAGGTATGAGGAGGTAATGGGGCCTTGGGATTATGTGAACAAAAGAGGGCGATCCACGGGTGGTCACCGAAAAAAAAAATTGGTGTTTGCCGCTCATCAATCAGAAAAGAAGCCACGCACCTCCCTCGGTCAATTCTCTTCCAATATTGGTGGGTCGCCCAGGAGGCCAATGTCAAGTCTGAGGTACTTTGGAAGTGGTGGAGGTGAAAGAAGCAAAATAATTGCCCGTTAGCCGGATCGAACGGCTGACCTCATCATGGCCTCGGAATAAGACAAAGTAATCAAGATTACGAGTGACGCGCTACTACCACTGAGCTAAACGGGCGCTCCGGGCGTGCGGGAAGGTCAGGAAATGGTGTGGGGAGAGATTCTACGCCCAACAAGCCCAAGACGATCGGCAACTCACCGACATTCCAAAAATGTTGAAGTCTTCATAATTCAACATATGCAATGTCCAATCATAAAGTGTCCAGAACTCCTGCCTCTATTATACTTGTGTCTGTAGGACAACAGGCTCTAGATTCACGACTCACAATAATCCTTGAGCAATGAGAGACCCAACTCTTGCCGAATGCGGCCACCGATCGATCAATCAAATGTTGATCGGTTGTTGCCGCTTAGACTTGACCACAGCCGCTCACAATGGCAACATCCAGCACCATTCGCAGGAGAATACCAGTAGACGTCCCAGCTGTAGCCTCAGTTACCTCCAAAACTTCAAGGACGATTAACTGGCTTGAGCTCCCAGAATGGCAAAAAGACAACGAGTATATCATCTCTGGCTACCGGAGGTACGTCTTGTTGCAGTTGAACACGTTACGGTTGACTTTATCGCATGGGTCAGAGTTCAAAATCAATGGAGGGGTTGCTTTACATCCGTCTTTGCATGTGAGTAACTGCACAGTACTTATGCTGTTTACTGATTCTTCTCAGACTTGCACAACGAGACAAGTACGCATTTTTTGCCTTGGTCCTGAAACCGTTGGCTCATTGCACCAGTCAACATACACACTCACTTGTGGGCTGCCGTCTTATTTGCATATTTCTTGGCCACGTTCCACCAGACGTATCTCAAGCAGTACGCGGCTACAACGTGGGCTGATTCCGCTGTAATCGTGGTCTTTTTGTCCTCTGCAATTTTCTGTCTGGGTGCGAGTGCCTTTTTCCACACTTCTACTTGTCATTCCGAGGAGGTGACAACCCGCTTCTCTCAACGCTGAATATAGCTCTTACTTTATTGCAGGTTTCCTCTCGTTGCCACGCTCTAGACTATTCAGGCATAGTTATCCTCACAGTTGGTTGTTGGCCCGTTGCTACTTCATATTCGACCAACTAATTCCGTCTGCCAGGATCATTCTATCCCAGTCTCTATTTTGGTTTCTTCTGTCAGCCCCGATTGCAAATATTCTACCTCGCCGCCATATCGTCTATCGGCCTCGGTACGTCGAAAACAACAAATTACTCGTTAATCTGGTCATAATCGGGAGAGTTATTATAGTCGCCGCCTATATTGTTCTTAGTCCGGAGTATAGCAAACCAACCCATCGTGCGGCGCGGACTACTGTTTTCGTAGGACTGGGCTTATCAGGCGTTGGTCCCATTACGCATTGCCTGTTAACTGAGGGTTATCAAAGGGTCTTTTCGGACCTAGGCTTTGGTTGGGTCGTGCTGTGCGGTGCCCTTTATATTTTGGGAGGTGAATACATGCCAACGCCATCGGCACCCCTAGTGATTTGAACAACAGCTCTGCTTTACGCAAACCGAATCCCTGAGCGCCTCGCTCCCGGAAAATTTGACTACTTCCTTGCATCTCATCAAATATTCCATTGCTGCGTTGTTGCCGCGGCGGGAGCGCATTACGCCGGTGTTTTAACGGCACTCAATTATTCTTATTCCCGACCAAACATTTGTGTGGGCCCAAGTGGCTAGGGCTCCGTGTCAAGGTGCCCCTGTTTCTCCTCCGCCCCTACATCGGCGTGTATTCTAATAAACTAATTACCAGCCGTCCCTGACCCGATTCAATAATGCTGTCCCTTAGAGTCTGTAGCGCGCATGTCACCTCGCATTTACGCTACTAACCAATATGACTGGATTTCAACGCTCAAACCTGGTATTATCGTTATCTCTTAGCCACTAACCCAGTATATATTCAGCCACTAATGAATCAGACAGTTTGACGCACTTGCATTTTTTCTTCGGTCAAATGAACTAGTTTTCGCACTTTTCTCGGAAATTGCAGATTTTTCGGGCAATCGTATATCAAAAGGTACGTGTTCTTGGTCCCGATGTGATGCATCCAGGGTACGCGTAGCATCTCGTGGCAACCTTCGCATTATCGATCAAGCGGCTCGCCGGGGACGGACTATCACCGTACTGACTCCCTGCACGGAAAACCACTTAATTATCTTTTCGTGTTTCCCGATGACATATTCGTGTCACTTTTGCGTCTCCAGGTTCCATTTCAGATCGTTTGGGACCCTTCCGTGGCGCAAAGTATGTGGTCAAAAAACGCCAATATCATTTCGACCTCTTCGTCTATTAAACAGATTTTTTTTAAGGTATGACGCCACTGCCCTTCTTCGTTGATCGGCAGCCGGTACTCCTGGGACTCTTCTGGGAAGGATGTACAACCATCAAATGTCTATTTTGTGTCCATTGCGACCCGTCTGCACGTGGCAGTGACCGCCGAAGCCTTAATTCGACTTGATCTCGGTTCCGGGTGAAGAACCAAAATGGGTTGGCAGCTTCAAGCAGATCTCGTGTGTAGATCCTTCGATTACAGCAACGAATTCGACGCTACTTCCAATGCCCGGCGGCATGGAACGAAATCTGTTTTATCCCAGATTCAGCCCCAGATTTTCCGCCCTTCCACTTGGGGCATTGCAGGAGCATGCCAAGTATAAAATGGGCTCTGTTTTGTCGCCTCTTCGATTAACTTGTCACATTATCGCGCCCGACAACGCGCAACCTTGCCATGCCCTACATTATCGGCCTCCACTCTGCTGCGTCCGCGTTCCTTTCCGCGGGGTTCGCTACTCAGTTCACTGTGGCTGTCGTAATCTGTCTCATCATCGTCCTCGTTACTTCCTCTTTGAAAGAGGACGAACTCGAGGCACCAAAGTCTCTACCGGGTCTTCAGTTTCTCTCGATCATCCCGTTCTTTCGCCAGAGACACGATTTCCTCAACTGGGGTTTTCACGTCACCGGGCAATCGATGTTTCAGTTCAAACTAATGAGCGTAGGTCAACTTCAACACTTTTGAGTCCATCCACACTCACCCAGATAAAAGCACACTGTGATCGTCCTATCCGGCACGCCAGCTCGACGGGCATTTTTCTACGCTAAGGGTTTCGATCTCACAGAAGGATTCAAGATTTTATCCGGTGCCGTACGTTCACAGATTGCCCGTTCTTTGACCGATTTTCATTTTTCCTATCCGAGTTTAGATCCCCATGGTTCGCGGCGTTACCTCCGGCCTCCAGACCAAGCGGATTTCCACAATTCACAAGCGGCTTGCCGCTGTTCAAAAGAACGCCCCACTCAGTGACCGTGAGCCAATTTGTTTTCGATCTCTTTTGTCGTCCTAATGTCATGTAGTGATCCCTGCCATTCTTGCGGATTCTCGGCGTATTTTGGAAAGCTTTGGATCTACAGGCACCTTTGATCCATTCGAGAAGATCTACGAGGTTGGTTCTCTTCGCCTTATTGTCTCCTTCGTAGCTCATATTTTATCCCATGGTGCAGCTCATTTTTCAGACGACTGTTCGAAGTCTTTCTTCTTCTGAAATAGCCGACGATTCAGCGTTGGTATCGCGGATGAAAACGCTCTACGATCGTCTCGACACCGGTACCACACCCGCTACGGTCCTGACACCCTGGATCCCCACTCCGGCAATGATCAAAAAACTCTGGGCGACGAAAGAAATATACGACATCGTAGTTCGCGCTATGAACGCGCGCGAGGCTAGCGGGATATCCCGAAAGGACACTCTCCAAATGTTGATCGATTCCGGAGACGACAAACTTGCCGTTGTCGGGGTATGGGTGTTTCCGCCCTTCTTCGAACGAACCGCACTCACATGTTCAAATTCTAGTTTATTATGGGACTACTTATTGCTGGCGCTAGGGCGACCGGAACGACCGGTACGCCGCGTTCAATTTTTACCCAGCGGACTAGCCTAATTATGTCGTTTTCCAGCTTCTTGGATTATCACGTTCCTCGGGGGACACCAGACCTGGCGACAGAAAGCCAAGGCGGAGGCCGAAGCTCTCTTGGCGGCGCAATCCGATCCAACATCGTCGACGTCCATATCGGCTCGACTTGCAGAAATCCCGCTCGAAACATGGGAATCGCAGACTCCGGTTCTGGACGCGATCATACGGGAGACCCTCCGAGTTGCCCAGCCGCACACCGCCATGCGCCGCAATCTCGGCCCCGAAATGTACATAAACGACAAGTTAATACCGTCCGGAGCCTACGTCGTTTATCCTTTTAGCGACGTCCATCTCGATCCCGAAATCTATCCCGACCCGTGGCGCTTCGACCCTTCTAGGAAAGAAGTCTCCAAAGTTGATTTGGGGTATGTAGGGTGGGGCGTAGGTCAGTCCCTCGTTGCCTCTTTTTGATGCCAAGGTTGACGTGAACATTTGTCACAGGCAAGACGAACTGCCTTGGGACGCGGCTGGCCAAGGTCGAGCTGAAACTGACGACCGCGCTCTTCCTTCTCGGCTTCGACCACATCGTCGTGGACAAAACCGGCGAGGCTCCAGATCCGTTGCCGAAACCAAACTGGAACGACATCCTAATGTGCCGCCCTGCGCCCGGAACATGCTATGTCAAATTCAAACGAACAAACCTTGCGCTATAATCTCCCGGCGATCCTTTCATTATTCAGTCAATCTAATAGAATATGTACAATATTTCACGTCGCGGACGGCTGGTTATTCGTTATTTCCCTTCACATTATTACGCCTTGATGGTTCTAGTTTCAGTTCTATTACAAGAAGAAATAAATGCATAGACCTATTTATACCTCACAACTTGGGCAAGGTTGCGCTTCATTGGTCCTAGATGTTCGATACGTTTCGCCACCGCAGATCCGCGTAGTTGTAATCATCTCAGGCGCAGAATTAATTCAACTTCGGAGAGATCCGTGTGGGTCCTACAGATCTTCCGTCACGACGTCCGTTCAGATCTTCCCGATATTCAATGTACTCAGAGATCCGAAGAAGTAAAACATCTTGTAAAAGTAATAACATTCTGGATACTAATATAGACGTGAACTAGATTGAAATTATATTTTGACTCGGGTCGCTCGGAGGCAA